TGTCAATATAGGCTCAATCTGCCTGCCTTTACTTCAGCTGCTCCCCAAACGAGATAATAAGGTAGTGAATCTGAGATTGGGCTTCTGCAACTATAAGCCTTATAGACACGAAAGCAGGCAAGCAGGGGCAGATTTAGAAGATTCATAAATGAGTTAATAGCAGTAACCTTTGATCTTGCCAGTACTCTAGTGTTTTTTCTACATATAGTTGTTGGATGTGCGGTCATTATAAGTTGGATTTGTCCTTTACTTCCTGTTTAAGTCCTTTTTCTGGGTGTCAGAGAAAGTGGAAAGTTTAATTTGAACATGAGACTTTACAACTCTTATGTATAACTTACTTGCAGGTATTGATCAATATGACAGAGATAGCATCATAAATGACTTTAAGAATGGGACCTGCAAGCTTCTTGTGGCCACTTCTGTTGCTGCCCGAGGCCTAGATGTGAAACACCTGATTCTTGTTGTAAATTACAGCTGCCCCAACCATTATGAAGATTATGTGCACAGAGCAGGACGGACTGGAAGAGCAGGCAACAAAGTAAAAAAAAAATTTAGATGGATTTTTATTATATTAAAGTATAAATGTTTATTATTTTAAGGAGTAATTAATCAGTTATGGGAACATTTTGAAAATCCTCAGTCATCGAAGTATGAGGATTAGTTGAGGTGTTCATCATTTATGTACATATATTTGTCTAAGTATTGTTAATATTATACATGTCTAAATATCTTGAAAATTACCAGATACCTTGCTGTTGTCTATAGTTAGATGGTGTTAACTGTTTGTGTCCCCTTTTAGGATTTTTTACCTGCCTGAAAGTTTCTATATACATCCATTTATATAAATCAGAATATTTCATTGCTTTTTTTTAAAATGGAATCATAAAATAGACTCACACCCACACTAATCTCCCCTCTTGTCATACATACATACATATCACTTGTTTTTTTTACTCATGTATTCTGGTTAAGTATATAGGTCTAATTCATCCCCCCCACCTTTCCCCAGTGGGGGAAAGGGGAGGGAAGAGAGCTATGGGCAGGTGGGTGAGATAGGGTGAGAAGGCAGGGAAGAAAAGAGGGAGGGAGAGAGGAAGGAAGGGAGGGAAGGAGGGAGGAAGGGAAGGAAGTAAGAGGGAAGGACGGGGGAAGCTAATTGATTCTTTTTGAAGGAGCAGAATATTCTGCTCTTGGAAACATTGATGATGATATAGTTGGTATCCCCACCCTAGTCATTTCTGCACGCGGAAGCAATAATGGCATTGATAGTACTAGGGTCTGTATATGGAGTGCTGATTAAGTGCCCCGACAGAAGAGCTTTATTTATGTTTAACATTTCATCTTCACAACTTCCCTTGGAGGTTTGATAATACTATCTTTTTTAATAGATGTGAAAAGTTGAGGCACATAAAGGTCAAATTACTTGCCCAAAGTTACACAGCTAATAAGTAATGATGGCATTTATTTTTTTAACCTGAGTTATTCTATGGATTTGGGAAACTTTTTGTGTAAATGGCCAGATAGTAAAAACTGTAGCATTTTAAGTGTCTTTTTACACTTTTTTTTAAATTGTCAACTGAAGATATGTTTATTGATTTTAGAGAGAGAGGAAGGGAGGGAGAGAGAAAGAAACATTGATCAGTTGCCTTCGGTATGTATCCCAACCTGGGGGTCAAACCCGCAACTTAGGTATGTGCCTTGACTGAGGATCGAGCCCATAACATTGGTTTATGGGAAAATCAGCTGAGCCATCTGGCCAGGGCTTGATACTCTTGAGGGGAGTATGTGGGGAGTAGGGGGTCATATGAGGTGCTGACCATGTGCTTTCCACCCTTCATAGCCATGCCTCACAAAGTTAAGGAGATCAAGGACTGTTTGCTCCCAAGCCAGGCGAAAGGATGCCAGGTCTGAAAAAGCGAGGATAATGTGAAGTTCAAAGTTTTATGCAGCAGATCTCTTTATACCTTGGTTGTCATAGATGACGAGAAGGCAGAGAAGCTGAAGTAGTCCCTGCCCCAGGTTGGGCAGTGAAGGAGCTAAAATGAACCACACATGCTGATAGGAACTGTATTAAAATGTTAAAAATTCTTTTTAAAAAATTGTAGCCTTTTGAGGCCATGTATGTTTTTTGTCTCGTGTGTGTAGGTGTGTACAAACTTAAACAAATGTAATGCCATTCTTATCTCTTGGGCAGTATAGAAGCAGACCATGGGTCAAATTTGGTGACTAGATATTGCTGAAATAATAAACCATGTTTCAAAATTTATAACAGTTCGGTGGTAGAGACAGAGTATTTTGTAAAGATGGCAATCTGTGGTTTGTAAGTCCTGTACTTTAATTCCAGTCTTTTTTTGCCTGAACCAAAAGCTGCTGGGGACATGTGAAGCCTTAGGTTTTAGAGGACCCCAAGGAGATGATGTAGCTGACTCATTTTTGCAAGATGGTTACAAAATAAATTTTAAAAAATCACTCACTTTTGTATATAAAACCATTATACACCATACACACACACACATATGCTTCTTTTTTGTGTGTGGTTTTTTTATACATGACTTTATTTGAGAAGCCTCAGGCACAGCCCAGACCAGAGAGCACAAAGGGGAGAGAGCACAGGGCATTGCAGGGCAGCTGGGGAGGTGGCCGGCATCGAAACCCAGGCATGTTGCTCTGACTGGGAATCAAACTGGTGACCTTTGGTTTGCTCGCCGACTCTCCAGTCGACTTAGCCACAACAGCCAAGGCACACATATGCTTGTGTACGTTTTATTTGTCTTTAAAAATTTGGGCCCCTTATAGGTGTAGCTCAGTTGGTTGGGCATCATCCCTCAAAGCAAAAGGCTGCTGGTTTGATGCTGGGTAGGGCACATGCCTGGGGTGCGGGTTTGGATTTGGCCCCTCATTGGGGTGCGTATGAGAGGCCGCGATCAATGTTTGTCTCTTGCGTCAATGTTTCCCTTTTCTTGTCCCTCCTTTCTCCTCTCTCTAAAAATAAACTTTATAAAATATATGGGCATCTACATTCTAGGAGGTTGGTATGGTAACTGAGGTAGAGTGGTGCAGTGGTGGAGGAAGGGACTGTAAGCAAAGATGGGAAAGAAGATATCATACTAAAGAAAATTATCTATAATGCAATTGTACATTTATGTAAAATAACATTCCTACTTGTGCATAAGAAACTAGAGATTTTCTGGTTTTGCTTACTTCATTTTTAAATATTAAACTTAGATATTCCACTTTCAAACATTAAAGAATTTAGTAGGACTTTTTATGGTTTTTAAAATTCTTTAGTAAGGAGTCAATCTTAAAAAGATTTATTGGGTGATTTAGATTTATCTGTGATCTAAGTAGGATTCACCTCGCTGGTGTCTAATAGTTTCACTGTCCCTGTCCGTTAGGGTTACGCGTATACTTTTATCACAGAAGATCAGGCTCGTTATGCTGGTGACATCATTAAAGCTCTTGAATTGTCAGGGACTGCGGTGCCTCCCGACCTAGAGAAGCTTTGGAGTGATTTCAAAGACCAGCAGAAAGCTGTAAGTTTTTGAACTCCCATTTTAATGCAAATCATTATTGTGTCCTAAATATTGCATATTTAACACTCGTAAATCTTGAAAGAATTATTTTCATTTATCTTTTTAAAAAAGGAAAAAAGTGAAAACAAAATCTTTTTGCTTCAACTCAGTATTTTGAGTAGTTTACCTAAGGATCTTATTTTTTCTCACATGCTAGATGAAGTGTTTTTGTTAAATTGGCATACTACTCCCTGAAGGATATTTAATTACTGTAAATTCCCGGACACTAAATTTTTTTACTATGACATTAACTTTTTTTTTTGTTTTGTTTTTTCTTGAAAGGAAGGGAAAATAATTAAAAAGAGTAGTGGGTTCTCTGGGAAGGGATTCAAGTTTGATGAAACAGAACAAGCTTTGGCTAATGAGAGGAAGAAGTTACAGAAAGCAGCTCTGGGTCTGCAAGATTCGGATGATGAGGACGCTGCAGTCGATGTAAGTGTTGTGCTAAACCTTGTCTTTGCCTTTTGAAACAGTTGTTCCTCTCACGCTGGCAGTCTTATGATGTGCTTATTGAGATAGCCAATTACTGGGAACCTTGGTTTGTACTCTTCCCAGCCTTTTCTTATGTGAGCATATACATTCGTGTGCTTGTATTTTCATAAAAATGAGGTCATACTGCTTTATGACCTATTTTACATAACAGCCTTATGTTGAAATCTCCCCTTTGTAGCACATTCACTCTTACGCTATTCTTGATGACTACATAATATTCTATTCTATGGATGTTCTCCCATTTAATGAATCAAACCCCTATTTTTTAATATATAGGCTGTTTCTATGTATTTATTATTTGGAATCTACTGTACTTTCTAAACTATACCTCATTGTTTCATCCTTGTACATTTAAATTTGCACATTCATCACATTCAGTCTTGAGGATGAGTGTATAAAAGGAACTACTAGTCCAAAAGGTATTTCTAATTTGGTCTTAAAACATTGTCAGATTATCCTCCAGCAAGGTGAGTGGACCAGTTTGCACACGCTGTGGTGGTGTGTCAGAGCACCTGCCTCCCCATTACCATTAGTAGCATTGGTGCTAATGTTTATCTTTTTAAATTGTTATTGAACATCCTTATTAATAATAATAGTCAACATTTACTGAGTGCTACTAAATGCCATGCACTGTGCCACGGATTATTTTATTTACTTCCTTACGAGAGGTAGATACTCGAGTAGTCCCATTTTATCATTGAGGGGGCTGAGGCTTGAACAAAATAATAACCTTTTCGGATTTATAGCTGTTATGGTAATGAGTCGGGACCTGTACTCACTGCATTCTACTTTCAAGTCCATGTTCTTAGCTTGTGGAATTATTTGTTATCAGCGAAGAGGGATATTGAGGACTTAGCAGGTTGAAGGTTTCAGAGAATTTTCTTTGGAATCCTGACTCCCCAGGAGCTTGAGCTGTAGAAGATTTTTTTTTTTCAAGTTTGTCAGACTGTTATGTTTCACTCATAAAAGGAGTGAAAGGGTATCTAAGAAGATGTTTTTATCATGGAAGAATTTTGGAAAATCTGCCTCGAATATACCACTAGTAGTGGCATCAGCATATCAAAGGATGTGAAATGTCCTTAAAGAAGCTTATTTAACTTTGGTTAACCCAGAAATTTTTCAACATACTTGATCTTTTGATCATACAACATTTTTTTGACATACTCTGTTAAACCTCAGCTTAGAACATACTTTTGGAAATCAGAAATTCAGTCTGTTCTTGCCATTTGAGGAAATTGAGGCCCAGAAAAGTATTTAGTCCACGACTGCGCTGACTGTTTGGTGCAGCCAGGACCGAAACCCTGGTCTCCCATGAACGCCAGGCCATTCTTTCTAGTGTGGCAGACTGACTGAAGTTCAGTTAAGTCAGTGTTTTAGTCATCTGCAATGGTCAGTCCAAAACTTAGTTGGCTAAAACAATAAACATTTATTGTCTCAGTTTCTGAGGGTCAGCGAGTCAGGAGCAGTTTAGCCAGGTAGTTCTGGCCGGGAGTCGCGTAGGTGGCAATCGGCTGCTGTCCCAGCTACAGTGATGTGGGACCATCTTCTTCCAAGATGGTTCACTCACTTTGATGTCGGCAGAATGCTTCCGTTTTTTACTGTGCCCCCCTCCGCCTGCCTCCCCCCAGAGCAGTGAACCTTCGAGAGAGCAAAGAGGGATACTGAGTGCATTTTATGACTAGTCTCTGAAGTCACACACCAGCACTGCTACTTCATTCTATCCATTAGAAGCAAGTCACAGTCCAGCCCACACTCCAGGACAGGCTCCACCTCTTGAAGGGAAGAGCGTTAAAGAATTTGTGGCCTTGATTTTACACCTCATTTTTTTGTCACTTTGAACATTTTTTAAAATCTCAAAATGCAATATGTTTATTTCTCTGATTATTAAAATGATATATACTGTTGTTAAAAAAATTAAAATAATACTGAAGTGAATAAAGTCCAAAGTAAAGTTAACCCAACCAGCTAACAGCATATGCATTCCCCATTCCTGCTTTTATGCATTTGTTTTGTATTTAATGCTATATATGCTGTTTTACTCAGTTAAATGGTAAGTTTGAAAGTAGTTGATAACTAAAATCCCTTATTAGGTAACAAATGTTTAAAAATATTTTTATTTATTTTTAAAGAGAGGGGAAGGGAAGGAGAAAGAGGGGGAAGAAACATCAATGTGTCGTTGCCTGTTGCGTGCTCCATACAAGGCCTGGCCTGCAACCCAGACATGTGCCCCTACTGGGAATCGAACTGGCGACCCTTTGGTTGGCTGGACCACACACTCAATCCACTGAGCTACACCAACCAGGGCAGATAACAAATATTTTTAAAAAGAAGCTATTTCAGTGAAAGGGCTTTCTAAATTTAGTTAATTTTAAACCTTGAACAAAATATCCTCTGACTTGTGATCTAGGAGATAAAGCTTTATTACCCTAATCTGAGTATATAAAGGGGTTTACGTCTCTGTGGTTGGCAGTGCCTGTCATCATCGTTGGTGAAAGGTGTCTTTAAAAGGACATGTGAACAGTTTACCTGGTAGATGTGGCAAGCCCGAGGATTGCTCAGTCGCTGTAGGAATCGTGTGATCCCTGGAGAGCGGAGGCTTTCTGCATTGCTTCTGCTTTGATGGGGAAATCAACTCTCATTTTCTATCTTTCTTGGTTCAAATGAATCAAGCAGTAAAACGTTCTTTTATAATTCTGTTACCCAAGTTTTAAGGCAAATCTAGTTGCATTTTAGGAGTTGGGAATAGTTTTGGGAGCCTCGTCATAGGAACATGTACCAATCCCCTTGAAAGTCATTGACTTTTTAATTATCCTTGGCCTCAAGTTATTGCCCTTCTTTCATTGCAGTGTAATTTGGCTTCAAGGCCCGAGCTGTGGAGCATCTTAGATGCATCATATTGGCTGCTCTGTTTTGACAACACACATTGCTTGTTTGCTGAACTGGGATGTATTTTCTGGACCACTTAGAAGTCTGCATAAATGGTTCATGCAGCGTTATATCTATTTTCTGTTTTTTTTTCACCATAGACAATGGATTTTTTAAATGAAACCTGTTACTCTTAATCAATAGCTGGTGTATTTTCCTGTTGATCTGTGTGATTGAATTAACATAAATATAACCAGACTTTTGGTAGAAATACTTTTTATTATTTGCTGTAGGTATACATAAATTGGTATTTTTAATCTCATTTCTATTAACTTCTTTTTGTTTCTAGATTGACGAGCAAATCGAAAGCATGTTTAATTCAAAGAAGAGAGTGAAGGATATGGCTGCTCCTGGAACATCTAGTGTTCCTGCTCCAACTGCAGGAAATGCTGAGAAATTAGAAATTGCCAAGAGATTGGCTCTTAGAATCAATGCTCAGAAAAATTTGGGCATTGAGTCTCAGGTATTAAGTATTTTGTTCTGAGATTTAGTCAATACTTTCCATAAGCTCTTTGATTTTAAATGCTTTTTAGGAATTAAGGTCAGCACAAGTGAACAAGTCCACTAGACAATGAGTGAATGAAAGTTTAACATTCTGAATACAGAATTCTTTGATTATTGCATTTGAGTGATTTCTCCAGTTGGTTAACTAAGGTCTTAATTCCTATTCTGAAAACCTGATTGTTGAGTATGTTAGCCATGGAGAGTTTTTAAAGTGCGATTCTGATCGCTCTTAACAGAATCTAAAGAAATCACTCTTTTTCTCTCGATCTGTTTTTATTGGGTGGTTTCGGGGCACACAAGCAATTCCTCAGAAGTGCAAACACCAAGTCAGTTACACGACTTAACTAACATGGATTTAAACAGTAGAAAATGTGTTAAATATTTTATGTTATCTTTCTCTTTGGAGCTTTTTAAATTTTTAACTAAAGGTAGATTTTCACAGTGTTCCCAAAGAATATTATGTTAATTTTAACAGTACTTTGAAGATTTTCGGGTCTGGGGACCTGCGGGGCCCTCTGTCTAGCAGGCTGTATAGGTTGAAGTCTGTAGCAGCTAAGCTGAGATGACCAAGCCGGAGGCTAGTGCACTGACCGAATGAGGCAGCCACAAGCAGGCTTGCTTCCTCTGGTCTGTGCATCTGTTTTGTTTAGCCATTGACTTATCGTGAAGTGTTTACTGTACCCAAGCCCATGCCTCCCCTGAGAACAGGGGTGGTAGGACCTAAATTTTCTGGGATTATTACTGTTAATGACTCTACTGGAGAAATCAAATAGCTGTAGCTTTTCACCGTTGTTGGGAAATCTTGAGGTATGATTCATGTATTACCCACAGGAGAGTTCTGAACATGTTAGGCGTATAGCAAAATTAAGTTCAAATTAAAAACCAAGAAGGTCCTGAATAAGTCATTTACTGTAATTTACTAAGTGTTGGGTTGGGCTGTGGGGAGAGAAGGAACTTAGTGGTGGTAGCGGACAATCTATTTTAGAGAAAATTCTTGGGAGCCCCAAAGCATGTAAATGATTTTAGAAATATACTGTGTTAAATAGCAAGTGTTGCTTAATTTATCTATGATCCAGTAGAACTTTATTTAACAGAAGAGTTGAGTGTTCTGTAGTTTTCTCATCAAAGTAAAGGAGGTATGTCAGACTGTCACTTGCAAGTGTGTACTACTAAACTGCACATACAGGAGGACTCTGCATTAAAAAGATGCTTTTAGTTCATGGCTTTCCAGAGAGTAACTGGTGGGGTCCCTGATCTTGTCTCTGCCCTCATTTGAGATTTGACTGTAGGACTCCTCTAATTGCAGGATGTGATGCAACAGGCCACCAATGCAATTCTCAGAGGTGGCACCATCCTGGCTCCCACTGTGTCTGCAAAAACCATTGCAGAGCAACTTGCTGAGAAGATCAATGCCAAGCTCAATTATGTGCCTTTGGAGAAACAGGAAGAGGAGAGACAGGATGGTGGACAGAATGAATCTTTTAAGAGATATGAGGAAGAATTAGAGATCAATGACTTCCCACAGGCAAGTAACAAGTTTAAAAATTGTAGAGTAGAAAATTTTGCTTCAAAGGAGTGAAAGTCCCTTCTTTAAAACCCATGAACATTTTATTTTATTTATTTTTATTGAAAAAATGACAGTTTATAGTCAATATTTGTATTGTATTAGTTTCAGGTTTATAGCATAGTGGTTAGAAAATCATATTTTACAAAGTGCCATGAACATTTAAATAGCTACTTTACTTTTTTTATTTAGATGGGGAAGACAGCAGTATAAATTCCATTTTTATGACTATGTTCTGGGTACATTAGGATTTTTTTTTTTTTAAGATTTTATTTATTTACTAATTAGAGAGAAGGGAAGGGAGAAAGATAAGGAGAGAAACAGCAATGTGGAAGAGACACACTGATTGGTTGCCTCCTGCACGCCCCCAACTGGGGACCTGGCCTGAAACCCAGGCAAATGCTCTGACTGGGAACCAAACTGGCGACCTTTTAGCTCTTGGTCAGTGCTCAAGCCACTGAGCCACACCAGCCAGGGCTAGGGACATTAGGGTATAAGTTAGTTTATGATAAAGGTGTTAATTATAATGGTAACATTGACCATATTATGATTTAGACAGCCCAGTTTTTGTCAGTACACTCAGTTTTTAAATCCTGTTACGAAGTGATTTTTCTCCCCACCCTGTCTTTTATAGACTGCTAGGTGGAAAGTTACCTCTAAGGAAGCTCTGCAGAGAATCAGTGAATATTCTGAAGCTGCAATTACAATCAGAGGAACATATTTCCCACCTGGCAAGGAACCCAAGGAAGGAGAGCGGAAAATTTACTTGGCAATTGAAAGTATGTACTATTGATTCTGTTTCAAGGTTGACCTAGATGTAATAGAGAGAATGTGAAATCAGTTCTAAAAAAATAGGGAGTAATATTTTAGAAGTTTCATATTTTATTTAGAAGTTTAGTACACATAACAAAGGTGAAAGATCTGTGTTTGGGACTCTTTCAGTCTTGATAATTAAGTCAAATTTGAAAATAACTAAATGAGAAGGACTTTTCTTTTAAGGATTAATCTGTTTATACT